TGGGTATCTTCCCCTCCAATTCAATCCGGACACTAACTACCTGGAAACAGTGTCAGATTCCACGGGCTGAGGGCTCAGTCCCAGAAGACTACCCCTACTTCAGACACCAGTCACACAAGTCAGGGCCTCCAGAACTTCTCAATGACAGGCTTCAAGCTGCAGTTCCCAAGACCTCCTTTTCAGGTTTCATTAATTTGCTAGAATGGCTCACAAAACACTTACTTAGGTTTACTGGTTTATTATAAAGGATATTACCAAGGATACAGATGAAGTGGAGCACAGGGTGAGATGCAGAGGGGACGCAGAGCTCTATGCCTTTCCCAGGCGTACCACCCTCCAGAAACATCTACCTATTAGGCTATCTAGAAGTTCTCTTGGGCGTTTTGTAAAGATTTCATTGGAGAGAGATGATTGAAGCATGGCCAACCTCACAGAACTTGATTGGATAAAGAGTGTGATCTAATACTAGCAGACTGAGTGCAGAAACCCAGCAAGGCCCATCCGGATTCTCCTTGGCCTCTCTGTGCGGTTCCTTCCTCCTGGGTAAGGGGCAGGACCCCCTCTGAAACAATCAGACAAGACAGGTCAGAGATTTTCTTTATCGCCAGCTCTAAGACACAAAGGCAGCGGATGATTAGAGAACAAGAGACAGACAGAGCTTCTGTTTTCTGAGGCCTGCTTCTGAGGCTTACAGCGCCCCAACATTCTTTTTTTTTTTTTTTTTTTTTGAGACAGTCTCACTCTGTCACCCAGGCTGGAGTGCAGTGGCACGATCTTGACTCACTGCAAGCTCCCCTCCCGGTTCACGCCATTCTCCTGCCTCAGCCACCCGAGTAGCTGGGACTACAGGCGCCTGCTACCACGCCCGGCTAATTTTTTGTAGTTTTAGTAGAGACGGGGTTTCACTGTGTTAGTCAGGATGGTCTTGATCTCCTGACTTCATGATCCGCCTGCCTCGGCCTTCCAAAGTGCTGGGATTACAGGCGTGAACCACCGTGCCTGGTCAGAGCATCCCAACATTCTAAAAAAAGACTTTTACCTTTACTGCTCTGAAGCTGTTCCAAGGCTGCTTCAGGAACCATGGACAAAGGACAAATACTTTAACAAAAGTTATGCTTACTATTTTAGTCACTCAGGAAGTAACAAGGACCATGGCAGTTGTGAGCCAGGAACCATGGACAAAAACTGGTATTATGTGTCATGAAATCACAATAAGTAATCTAGAGACAATTTAAAGTATATGGGAGAATGTGCATACGTTATATGCAAATACCACACCATTTTACATAAGGGACTTGAGCATCTGTGAATTTTGGTATACGCTGGGGGTCCCAGAACCAGTCCCTCAAAGACACTGAGCGATGACTATATTTATGAAGCTAATAAAGTATTATTATATTACTTTATTGAACAAGTATTTGCTGAATGCCTACTGTGTGCCAGATGCAATGCTAAGCATTAGGTGAACACACACTGGTCCCACCCTCCAAACAAGTAAACATACATTTATTATTGCAATTTGTAATTATTTAAGGGAAAGTAAATCAAGACGATATGAGAGACAAAAAGAACTTATGTTAGACTTACTGAAGAGGAAAGGCAACTTTGAAAAGGGACACAACCTTCAAGATGAGAACAGGTGGCCAGGTGTGGTGGCTCACGTCTGTAATCCCAACACTCTGGGAGGCTAAGGCAGGCACATCACCTGAGGTCAGGAATTCAATACCAGTCTGGACCAGTCTGGCCAACATGGAAACCCTGTCTCTACTAAAAATACATAAATTAGCTGGGCATGGTGGCACACACCTGTAATCCCAGCTACTTGGTAGGCTGAGGCACGAGAATCTTGAACCCTGGTGGCACAGGTTGCAGTGAGCCGAGACTGCGCCATTGTACTCCAGCCTGGGTGACAGAGCGAGACTCCATCTCAAAAACAAACTTAAAAAATACAATAAAAAGAAGAGAACAGGGTGAGGGCGAGGAGGAAAGTATACCAGACAGAGGGTATCGCAATGCAATTGTCCTCAGGAAGTGCTTAGAAGGTTAGAGGAGAAGGAAATACCTGTCAGTGGAAAGTGTGTGTCTGGGAGGTTGGGAGAGTGGCAAGTGGTCAGGCTGGGGAGTAGGTGAGGTTTTACAGGGTCTTGCAGGTCCTGGTAAGAGATGGAGATTTCCTCTACGTGCAATGGAAAGTCAATGAAGGGTTTTACCCAGGAGTGACATGTTCCAGTCATTACTTAAGATCACTCCAGTTGCCATGTGGAGAACAGAATGGAGGCTGGGGAAGAGTGAACACTCAAAGGCTATTGCTTAATCCAGCCCAGAGGTGATGGACTACAAAGCTGACAGTAGAGATGGTGAAAAGTAGCTGCATTCAAAATACATTCTAGGGTAGAGACAACAGGACCACTGACGGACTGGATTTACGGAGTGAGGAGAGAGGGCTAGATTTTTGGTCTATGCAATTGGATAGATGATGAGAAGAGGCTAGAACACACCTTTGGGAACCATCAGCACACAGACGGGTTAAATGACAGAGCGTGGAGAGAAAGGGTCCCAGGACTGAGCCCTAAGATACCTCAACACTTAGACATCAAGCAAGGGAGGAATGGGACCCAGGGAAGGACACTGTGAAGTAGTCCTTGATGTAGGAGGAAATATCACAAAGGAACATATAACATGAAGAAAGGAAAGTTTCTAGAGTTTCTGTATTAACCACTGCTGAGAGATCAAAAAAGTTGAGGCCAGAAAATCAACCTCTGGATTTGACAAGACGGAGGGATGGAGGGATCAGGTTTTTTGTTGTTGTTGTTGTTGTTGTTTTGGAGATGCAGTCTTGCTCTGTCGCCCAGGCTGGAGCGCAGTGGCACAATCTGGTTCACTTTAACCTCTGCCTCCTGAATTCAAGTGATTCTCCTGCCTCAGCCTCCTGAGTAGCTGGGATTACAGGCACCCAAAACCACACCTGGCTAATTTTTTTATTTTTAGTAGAGACAAGGTTTTGCCATGTTGGCCAGGTTGGTCTCAAACTCCTGACCTCAGGCGATTCGCCCACCTTGGCCTCCTAAAGTGCTGGGATTACAGGCGTGAGCCACCGCGCCCTGCTGGATCAGGTAATCTTAACAGTCATTTCTATAGACCAGTGAGGATGAAAGCCCAACAGAATGGTTGAGAGAATGAGGGGCTAATCAGCACTTTCAAGAAGTTTTGTTGGGATGGTAAGCAGAAATGGAGTAAGAGGTGGACATGTATGTGGGGACAGGGGATTTTCTAAGATGAATACATTAAAGCAGGGTTGTATGCTCACAGGAAATACTCCAGTAAAGAGGGAAAAATTAGTAATGATGGCTTGGACTAGAGTAAATTATATGAATAGTTTTTCAGGTTGCAGATGAAATCCAATCAGTGGGTTGCAAAATTAATTCAGTGGGTCAACCTTTTTTGTTCTGTTTTGTTTTGTTTTAGACAGAGCCTTGCTCTGTCACTCTGTCAGGAGTGCAGTGGCTCCATCTCAGCTCACTGCATCCTCCTGGTCTCAAGCGGTCCTCCCATCTCTACCTTGTAAGTAGCTGAGACTACAGGCATGCACTACCACACCCAACTAGCTTTTTAATTTTTTGTAGAGACAGGGTCTCCCTATGTTGCCCAGGCTGGTCTCCACCTCCCAGGCTCAAGTGATCCTCCTGCCTAAGCTTCCCAAAGTGCTGGCATTACTGATATGAGCCACCACGCTTGGCCCCATTCATCTTAATAAAAAATAGACAATATGAGAGTGTACTCCATACATTATTGTTTCATGATCCTTTCATTTCAGTTACACAGACATATTGTGTAAAGTTAAAAAAAAAAAAAAAAAAGGGAAGGGACCAGGTGAGGTGGCTCACGCCTGCAATCCCAGCATTTTGGGAGTACAAGGCAGGAGGATCACTTGAGCTTAGGAGCTGGAGACCAGCCTGGGCTGTAGTGAGATCCTGTATCTACAAAACGTTTTTAAAAAATTAGCCGTGAGTGATGGTGTGGGCCTGCAGTCCCAGCTATTGGAGGGGCTGAAGCAGGATTGCTTGAGTCCGGAAGGTGAGGCTGCAGTGAACCATGATTACACCATTGCACTCCCGCCTGGGGGACAGAGCAAGACCCTGTTTCTTAAGAAAAAACAATTAAGAATGTAAAAATCTGAAATGCCATCGTACATATAACCATTAAACACGAGGCAAAAGAACACAAAGGAAACTGAATCAAATAATCAGTGCACAGAGAACACAAGATAGGTAAATACCTACAAGTTAATATCAACCATGTAAAGCCCACATTCGGAGTAGATGCAAAAACTTCCATTTGCACGACGTGCAACGAGCAAGCATGGAAAAGATCACGTGGAGTGATCTTTAAATTGCCAGAAAATCTTTTACCCTCGTTTTGTACACACCCACACACCCCGTGCTGTTTCTCCGGTGCCAGTCCTGGCTCACATCCTTCCTTTCTCCCCACAAAAACCAGCCCCTTCCCTCACAGTGTTGACTGCTCCATCAAACTCAGAGCAGCTCTTCCGAGTGAGAGCTCCCCAAGGGCCCAGTGCTGCAAGCAGAGCTCTACCCGGCCCTGATTCATCTTTCCTCCAGGTACTTTCAGGGCGGACAGACTCAGGCCTTTATAGCCTTCTAAGTCCTGGCTCGGATACCAGGCTGGGCTCCACCCCCGCACTGTGACCCAAAAACGCTGGTAAATGAATGAGAGAAGGAGGGGGCACACTGAAAGGCAACCAGACCCGGAGGTGTTCGGCCGCGCACCCCAGACACAGGGTGTGGAGGGGAAGCGAAGGGTCGGAGGGGCAACGCGAGAGTCCCCTTCGTCCCTGTCCCCACCCCGCGGCCCTCCCGGACAGGGCCGGCCCCCTGCCCTCACTGCCGTACGAGGGTCACCAAGTTCCCACGGATCTCGGCTCTCAGCGGTCAAACCGTTGGGCTCCTCGGCCGAAAAGGGACGCGCCCGGGGAGACTTACACTTCCATGACGTCCCGCCTCGTCGCCCCTAGCTGCCAGCAGACCAAAAACCTCACACTTCACAGCTGTCCCCGCCGCGACCGCCGGCCGCGCCAAGGTGCCAGCTCCGCGCGCCAAGGTGCTCGCCGGGATTGCAGCGCTGCATGCCGGGAGCCTGGCGGACCCGGAACCTCGCGCTGCGCGTTCGCCTTTCTCGGGGGCGCGGGTGGGGGAGTGTTCCTGCATCCTTTCACCAGGCCGACGTAAGACTGCTAAGCGTTTGCGGACAGGATTATCTCGTGTTTTCTTTTATTTTTTTATTTTTATTATTTTTTTGGAGACAGAGTCTCGCTCTGTCGCCCAGGCTGGAGTGCAGTGGCGCGATCTCGACTCATTGGAACCTTCGCCTCCTGGGTTCAAGCGATTCTCCTCCTGCCTCAGCCTCCCAAGTAGCTGGGACTAGAGGCGCTTGCCACCAAGCCCGGCTAATTTTTTGTATTTTTAGTAGAGACGGTGTTTCACCGTGTTAGCCAGGATGGTCTCGATTTCCTGACCTCGTGATCCGCCCGCCTTGGCCTCCCAAAGTGCTGGGATTACAGGTGTGAGCCACCGCGCCCAGCCTCTTTTTTTCTTTTTTGAAACAGAGTCTCGCTCTGTCGTTTCTTTTTTGAAACAGAGTCTCGCTCTGTCGCTCAGGCTGGAGTGCAGTGGTGCGATCTCGGCTCACTGCAAGCCCTGCCTCAGGTGTTCAAGCAATTCCCTGCCTCAGCCTCCCGAGTAGCTGGGATTACTGGCGCCCGCCATAATACCCAGCTAATTTTTATATTTTTTAGTAGAGACGGGGTTTCACCATCTTGGCCAGACTAGTCTTGAACTCCTGACCTCGTGATCCACCCGCCTCGGCCTCCCAAAGTGTTGGGATTACAGCGTGAGCCACCTCGACGGCCTATCTCTGTTTTCGTGGTCCAGGTTTTAACAAAGTATTAATCAGCTCAAGTTGCGAGATGTGATCGGGTTAGTGGGCCTTTGCATGTTAAAATCCCACCCCTCAGAGAGTAGTGAGGCTGGTGGCATCTGGGCTGCCAGAAACATTGTAGTTTTTTTTTTTTTTTTTTTAAGAGACAGGGTCTTCCTCTGTCGCCCAGGCTGGAATGCACTGGTGCAGTCAGAGCTCACTGCAGCCTTGAACTCCTGGGCCCAAGCAATCCTCCCATCTCAGCCTACCAGAGTAGCTGGGGCTATACCTGGGTAATTTTTTTTTTCTTTTTTTTTTTTTTTTTTTGAGACGGAGTCTCGCTCTGTCACCCAGGCTGGAGTGCAGTGGCCGGATCTCAGCTCACTGCAAGCTCCGCCTCCCAGGTTTACGCCATTCTCCTGCCTCAGCCTCCCGAGTAGCTGGGACTACAGGCGCCCGCCACCTCGCCCGGCTAGTTTTTTGTATTTTTAGTAGAGACGGGGTTTCACCGTGTTAGCCAGGATGGTCTCGATCTCCTGACCTTGTGATCCGCCCGTCTTGGCCTCCCAAAGTGCTGGGATTACAGGCTTGAGCCACCGCGTCTGGCCTAATTTTCTTTTTCTTTTTTTTTTTTTTTGAGATGAGTCTCACTCTGTTGCCCAGGCTGGAGTGCAGTGTTGCCATCTTGGCTCATTGCAACCTCTGCCTCCCGGGTTTAAGCAATTCCCTGCCTCAGCCTCCTGAGTAGCTGGGATTACAGGCACCCGCCATAATGCCCAGCTAATTTTTGTATTTTTTAGTAGAGATGGGGTTTCACCATCTTGGCCAGGCTGGTCTTGAACTCCTGACCTTGTGATCCACCCACATCAGCCTCCCAAAGTGTTGGGATTACAGGCGTGAGCCACTGCATCCAGCCACCTGGATTTTTATTTTATTAATTTATTTAATAAAATAAATTAAAATTTATTTTAATTTTCTAAAATAAAATTCTTTATTGTCCAAAGGGTCAGCTAGAAAATTTTAAAATTTTTTTTGTAGAGATGGGAGTCTCACTATGTTGTCCAGGCTGGTCTTGAACTCCTGGCCTCAAGTGATCCTCCCATCTCCACCTCCCAAAGTACTGGAATTACAGGTGTGAGCCACTGCAATAGCCTCTGTTGCCTACTTTGTAAATAATAAATGTGTTACACAATCCTTATAAAGTGCCTGGCACTTTATTAATTACTGTGGCAATACAACCATGACTCTCTATGAAGTAGATTCCATTATTATTGACATTTTATAATCGAAGTAACTGAGGCAGACTTGGGGAGATTATGATTTACCAAAAGTCACTCATCTAGGAACTTGTCCAGTGGGTATTGAACCCATCAATCTGAACAAATACTAGGGATGCATTAACTAGAGACTGATGAGTGGATGAATAAAATGTGCTACATTTGTACAATGGAAAACTACCTAAAAAGGAGGCCCGCCGGGCGCAGTGGCTCACGCCTGTAATCCCAGCACTTTGGGAGGCCGAGGCAGGCGGATCACAAGGTCAGGAGATTGAGACCATCCTGGCTAACACGGTGAAACCGCATCTCTACTAACAATACAAAACAAAATTGGCTGGGTGTGGTGGGGGGCGCCTGTAGTCCCAGCTACTCGGGAGGCTGAGGCAGGAGAATGATGTGAACCCAGGAGGCGGAACTTGCAGTCAGCGAGATTGTGCCACTGCACTCCAGCCTGGGCGACAGGACAAGACTCTGTCTCAAAAAATAAATAAAAATTAAAAGGAGGCCAGGCTTGGTCCCAACACTTTGGGAAGCGGAGGCAGGAGGATTTATTGAGACCAGGAGTTCCAGACCAGCCTGGACAGCATAACCAGACCCCCATCTACGAAAAGTTAGCCAGGTGTGTGGTGGTGAGCACCAGCTACTGGGGAGGCTGAGGTGGGAGAATCGCTTGAGCCGGCAGGTTGGGGCTGCAGGGAGCTTTGATCACACCACTGCACTCCAGCCTACAGAGTGAGAGACCTTGTCGCAAAAAAATAGATAGATAGATAGATAAATGCTGTGAGATGGATGACCTCCCAAAACATGGTGCTATTAATAAGTGAAAGAAGCCAGACACAAAATAATACATATCACCTGCCCGGGTGGCTCATGCCTGTAATCTCAGCACTTTGGGAGGCCGAGGTGGGCGGATCATCTGAGGTCAGGAGTTCAAGACCAATCTGGCCAACATGGTGAAACCCTGTCTCTACTAAAAATACAAAAATCACCAGGCGTGGTGGTGGGCACCTCTAATCCCAGCTACTCGGGAAGCTGAGGCAGGAAAATTGCTTGAACCCAGGAGGTGGAGGTTGCGGTGAGCCAAGATCACGCCACTGCACTCCAGCCTGGGTAACAGAGTGAGACTGCTTCTCAAAACAAAAGGCCGGGTGCAGTGGCTCACGCCTGTAATCCCAGCACTTTGGGAGGCCCAGGCAGGCGGATCATGAGGTCAGGAGATCAAGACCATCCTAGCTAACACGGTGAAACCCTGTCTCTACTAAAAATACAAAAAAAAAAAAAAAAAAAAAAAATTAGACATGGTGGTGGGCGTCTGTGGTCCCAGCTACTTGGCAGGCTAACGCAGGAGAATGGCGTGAACCCAGGAGGTGGAGCCTGCAGTGAGCGAAGATTGCGCCACTGCACTCCAGCCTGGGTGACAGAGCGAGACTCTGTCTCCCACCCCACAAAAAAAGAATACATATAGTATGATTCACTTTATATGGAATGTGCAAGAAGAGGCCAATCTATGGATACAGACAAAAGGCTAGGTTGGGGGCAGGGGTGGGAAGTGACTGGTAATAAGTAGGGAGTTTCTCTTTGGGAAACAAAAATCATCTAAAAGTATTATAGATGGGCCAGGCGCGGTGGCTCAAGCCTGTAATCCCAGCACTTTGGGAGGCCGAGGCCGGTGGATCACGAGGTCAGGAGATCGAGACCATCCTGGCTAACACGGTGAAACCCCGTGTCTACTAAAAATACAAAAAACTAGCCGGGCGTGGTGGCGGGCGCCTGTAGTCCCAGCTACTCGGAGGCTGAGGCAGGAGAATGGCGTGAACCCAGGAGGCGGAGCTTGCAGTGAGCCGAGATCGCGCCACTGCACCCCAGCCTGGGCAACACAGCGAGACTCCGTCTCAAAAAAAAAAAAAAAAAAAGTATTATAGATGGTGATGGTGGTTGCACAACCCTGTGAATATACTGAAAACACTGAGTTGTACACTTTAAATGGCAAATTGTACAGCATATGAGTCTTATATTAATAAAGCTGTTAAACATTTTTTACTTGGCTAAGTGTGGTGGCCACACCTATAATCCCAGCACTTTGGAAGATGAAGGCAGGTGGATCCCTTAAGCCCAGTCTGAGACCAGCCTGGGTGACATGACAAAATATCATCTTTACCAAAAAAATAGAAATTAACCAGCGTGATGGCTCGCGCCTGTAGTCGTAGCTACTCAGGAAGCTGAGGCAGGAGAATCGCCTGAAACCGGGAGGAGGAGGTTGCAGATCACGCCACTGCACTCCAGCCTGGGCGAAAGAGCGAGACTCTATCACAGAATAACAACAAAAAAAGTACGTATAATGCTACCCGGACCCAGCTGACCTGGTTAGTGCGGAAAATTCCCTGTACCTTCATTGAGGAGACTAGATTCCACAAAGAAACGCTAAAGATGCTCCTTGTGTTACTCACTCAACCAATAATGTAGCCATGGCCCATCGGGGGCTGATGATACAAATGTGACTAATACACACCCTCTGCACTGGCTAGCTGACAGCCTAGTTGGGGAACCAGCTCTGGACATAAATAACTACAATGCATTGTGTTTCGACGGGATGGGGCAGGGGAGGGAATGACTAATTGAGGTGGAGAGGCGTCCCAAAGCCACGGGCCTTTGAACTGGGTGAGGGGAAAAGTACACAAGATCTAGGAATTGGGTACAGGCTTCAGTGGAAAAGAGCAGTGCCTCTGACAGCCCCCATGATAAAATGGCTCAGGTGTGACTTAGTGTACGGAGTTAGCTGGGTGTTCAAATGGTACCCACTAGGCCGGGCATGGTGGCTCATGCCTGTCATCCCAGCTTTTTGGGAGGCCAAGGCAGGTGGATCACTTGAGTCCAAGAGTTCAAGACCAGCCTGGCCAACATGGTGAAACCTCATCTCTACTGAAAATACAAAAATTAGCCAGGCATGGTGGCGGGCGCCTGTAATCCCAGCTACTCAGGAGACTGAGGTTGGAGAACCACTTGAGCCTGGGAAGCGAAGGTTGCAGTGA